TTCTTCTTCTTCTTCTTCTTCTTCTTCTTCTTCTTCTTCTTCTTCTTCTTCTTCTTCTTCTTCTTCTTCTTCTTCTTCTTCTGCTGCTGCTGCTGCTGCTGCTGCTGCTGCTGCTGCTGCACTGCAGCAATGAAAAAAGCAAACTCTATGTAAAGGATTATTAGGAAAGGGATTGAGAATAAAATGGCCAGTATTGTATAGCTCTATAGTGTACAGATCTATATACACCATCTATGGTGTATAGATCTATGGAACGGCCTCATTTGGAACACTGTGTATAGTTCTGTATCTCCAAAAGGACATGGCAGAGCTGGGGGAAGTAGAGAGGAGGGTTACCAAGATGATGAGGGGGTTGGAACGCCTTCCCTGTGAGGAATGGCCAAAAGAGCCTGGGACATTTCAGTTTAGGAAAGAGACAACTAAGGGGGCCATGACAGAGGTTCATAAACTTATGCACGGGGTGGAGAGAGCTGATGGAGAGAAAATATTCTCCTTCCCTCAAATCACTAGAACGTGAGGGCATCCGATGAAGCAGACGGGCAGTAGGCTTAGGAGGGACCAAAGGAAATAGTACTCTACACAGAGAGTGGTTAAAATGTGGCATTCGCTGCCAGAGGGTGTCATGATGGCCACAGGAATGAACGGTTTTAAAAAAAGGGATGAGATGGATTCGTGGAGGAGAAGTCTATCAATGGCTCCTAGCTGTGGTGACTGAGGGGAACCTCCACATTCAGAGACACTAATCCTCTGAATCCCAGAGCCGGGAGGCAACATCAGGGGAAGGCCTCGGCCTCTGCACTCAGTTGTCAGCCTGGTTGACCCCTGGGTGAGAGAGGCTGCTGGGCTAGATGGACTACTGGTCTGACCCAGCGGGGCTCGTCTTATGTTCTTACATCAAATGAGGTGTTAAAGCAGAAGGTGTAATGATTTTCAATTTTTTGGGGGGGGATACAGAAGCGTAGGTTGATTTTTCTAAAGCTGACATCTGGTAGTACAATTCCTACTGTTCAGGTATCCGTGGGCACAGCTGCATATCCCCAACACCCAAGATCGGAGGATGTAGCATCCTGAGAACGGCACTTTTCATTGTTAAAATGCCATGTTACTAGTCCTTAAAGGAGCTGCGGTGGCTCAAGGGGTTAAGACGCTGAACTGCAGGCTGTGGAAGGTCGGAAGTTCAGCAGTTCGAGACCCGGGTGCCGCATGACGGAGTGAGCTCCCGTCTCTCGTTCCAGCTCCTGCCAACCTAGCAGTTCGAAAGCAAGAAATGGCAAGTAGATAAATAGGTACCACTTTGGTGGGAAGGTCACAGCGTTCCGTGCGCTTTGGTGTTTAGTCATGCCGGCCACATGACCACGGAAACGTCTTCGGACAGCGTGGGCTCTTCGGCTTGGGAACGGAGATGAGCACCGCAACCCTAGAGTCGGATTCGACTGGCTTTCGAGCAAGGGAACCTTTACCTTTACCTTTACTAGTCCTTAAGACCAGGATGTTGGCTTCGGAGAGTTCCTTTTTAAAAAAAAAAACATTTTTTTTATTTTCT